TATATATATATATATTTAGGGGGGGTGTATCTATGTATATCTATAGATAATAGATATAGATAGATATAAATCTATTTGGATATATATATAGAGAGAGAGATATATAGATACATATATGTGCACCTTTTCCAAATAGTGGTGTTTCATTTTGATCGCAGAAATATGTGAATTTGGGGTTACTTATTTTTTTTAATCCAAAAATTAGGGATTTTTTTTTTCATCAGAGAAAACCAGGCTCCCTGCATAGTAGTGCACTGACATCCTGGCTGTAGGAGCTGGGCTCATAGGGCAGCCAGGCTAGAAGGCGCCTCCAGAGGTCATCCATTCTGTCCTTTGCTCCAGACAGGCTGCTCCCTGGCTGGCCGTCCCAGCCAAGTGCCTGTCTAACCTGCTTTTGAAAGTTTCCAAGCATGGAGAGTCCACAACTTCTCTAGGTAGCCTGCTCCCATGCCTGGCCGCTCTCAGAGTCAGGAAGTTCCTCCTCATCTCCAGCCTAAATTCCCCCTGCTGCAACTTGTCCTGCCTCCTACAGTCACAAAAAAACCCTAGCCTCATTCTCTCTATAATCACACTTCAGCTATACGAAGACTGCCACTGAAATACCTTCTCAGGCTTCCCTTCTCCAACTGAAATAACCCTAGTTCTCAGAGTCAGGAAGTTCCTCTATCTCCAGCCCCCCACTGCAGCCTGAGGCCCTTGCTTCTAGTCCTGTTCCCTGCAGCCACAGAGAAAAGCCCATCTCCATCCTCTCTATAATCACCTTTCAGGTATATGAAGACTTATCAAATACCTCCTCAGTCTTCTCTTCTTCAGGCTAAATAACCCTAACTTTGTCAGCCTTTCTTCATAACTTCATAAGCCCAAAGGGAGTTAATCCCAACACAAACCAAAGGGGGCAAGAGGGCTCAAAAGCCCCCATGGCTCACCAAAAGCATATGGGAAAGTCTCCTAGCTAAAAAGGAGGCGTACACCCAATGGAAGGGAGGGGCCATCACCAGGGAGGACTATACCTCAGTTGCTCGGGGCTGCAGGGGGGCGGTCAGGAAGGCCAAGGCGGAGATGGAACTGGGACTAGCGACCCAGATCAAGGACAACAAGAAGTCCTTTTTTAAATACATTGGGGGCAAAAAGAAGGTACCGGGTAACATGGGGCCTCTGCAAGACACGCTAGGAAATCCGGTTGTCACACCAGATGACAAAGCTAACCTATTTAACAATTTCTTTGCCTCTGTTTTCCTGAGCAGGGACCCGATCAGCCCACCCACCAGGACCCCCTCAGACTCCAGGGGAGATGCATCCAGGCCTAGGGTCAGAGAGGACCTAGTCAGGGAACTTCTGGAGGGACTGGACGTATTTAAATCAGCTGGTCCTGGTGACCTCCACCCCAAGATGCTGAGGGAATTAGCAGAGGTCATTGCGGGACCCCTGGCACAGCTTTACGAGCACTCGTGGTGCTCTGGCATTGTGCCAGAGGACTGGAAAAGGACCAATGTGGTTCCCATTTTCAAAAAAGGGAGGAAGGATGACCCAGGAAACTATAGGCCCATTAGTCTTACCTTGGTCCTGGGTAAGCTTTTTGAGAGAGTTATCCTGGAACATGTCCGTGAGGGGCCAGCAGGGGAGATTATGCTTAGGGGCGACCAACATCGGTTCATTAGAGGCAGGTCCTGTCAGACCAACCCGGTGGCCTTCTATGACCAGGTCACAAAATCCTTAGA